AAACAAACAATTCACACACGTACAACATAGTATAAAACAAACAATTCACACACGTACAACATAGTATAAAACAATTCACACACGTACAACATAATATAAAACAATTCACACAAGTACAACACAGTATAAAACAATACACACACGTACAACATAGTATAAAACAATTCACACACGTACAACACAGTATAAAACAAACAATACACACGTACAACACAGTATAAAACAAACAATACACACACGTACAATATAGTATAAAACAAACAATACACACATGAACAAAGTAGTATAAAACAAACAATTCACACACGTACAATACAGAATAAATCAAACAATTCACACACGTACAACACAGTATAAAACAATTCATACACGTACGACATAGTATAAAACAAACAATTCAAACATATAGTGCCTTGCAAAAGTATTCACTCCTACCAATAATGTCACATTTTGATGAAATACAAATAATGTATTTTTTTTTTAATTAACTTGTTTTTATTCAAAACTCTAGTGATCAAACTTAACACTGTTATATGTGAAGGAGGGTGAATGTCAGTAAAACCTACAAAGAAAATATATAAATTGAAATTTGCTGATTACATAAGTATTCAGCCCCTAAGTCAGTACTCAGTGGAAACACCTTTGGCAGCAGTTACTGCTGTGAGTCTTTCTGGATAGGTCTTTGCACAATGGGGTGGTGTAATTTTTGCCCATTCTTCCTGGCAAAATTTCTCCAATTCTGACAAGTTCATTGGGGATCATCGATGGAGTGCAATCTTCAAGTCTCGCCATAAATTTTCTATTGAAATCAAGTCAGGAATTTGACTGGGCCACTCCAGGACATTCATTTTCTTCTTTTGAAACCACTTTAGTGTGGGTTTGACCTTGTGCTTCGGGTCATTGTCCTGCCGAAATGTGAATTTTAGACCCAGTTTTAGATTCTTGGCTGACTCAAGCAGGTTTTTCTCTAGGATTCGTCTGTACTTTGCACCATCCATCTTTCCCTCAATCCTGATAAGCTTCCCAGTCCCTGCTGATGAGAAGCATCCCCATAACATGATGCTGCCACCACCATGCTTGGAATTTGTGATGGTGTTGACTGGTGATGTACTGTGTTGTACTTGCATCAGACGTAATGCTTTCAATTTAGACCAAAAAGCTCAATTTTTGTCTCGTCTGACCAAAAAACCTTCTGCTACATGTCTGCAGTATCAGTTACATGCTTTGTTGCAAACTCCATACGAGATTTAAGATGATTCTTTTTCAGTAATGGCTTCTTTCTTGCCACTTGCCCATACAGGCCAGCTTTGTGTAGAGACCGGGATATTGTCGATGTATGAACACTGACTCTCCTCTCAGACATGGAACTTTACAAATCTTTCAAAGTCACTGTTGGCTTCAGAGTGGCATCCCTAACCAGTTTCCTGCTTACCCAGCTAATTAGTTTGGAAGGGAGGTCTGATCTGGGTAGTGATTGAGTGGTATGAAGCACATTTCACTTCTTAATGATGGAATTCACCGTACTCAAAGGGATAATCAGAAAGTGGTTGGTAATACTTGGAAGTGCAGCATCATCCCAATTAAGAAAGTGGTTGGTAACACTTGGAAGTACAGCGTCATACCCATTAAGAAAGTGGTTGGTAATACTTGGAAGTGCAGCATCACACCCATTAAGAAAGCAGTTGGTAATACTTGGAAGTGTAGCATCACACCCATTAGAAAGTGGTTGGTAATACTTGGAAGTACAGCATCACACCCATTAAGAAAGTGGTTGGCAATACTTGGAAGTACAGCATCACATCCATTAAGAAAGTGGTTGGTAATACTTGGAAGTGTAGCATCACACCCATTAAGAAAGTGGTTGGTAATACTTGGAAGTGTAGCATCACACCCATTAAGAAAGCGGTTGGTAATACTTGGAAGTGTAGCATCACACCCATTAAGAAAGTGGTTGGTAATACTTGGAAGTACAGTATCACACCCATTAAGAAAGTGGTTGGTAATACTTAGAAATATAGCATAACACCCATTAAGTGGTTGATAATACTTGGAAGTACAGTATCACACCCATTAAGAAAGTGGTTGGTAATACTAATGTTGTTGCAGCTTTTGGCAGTATGGTGTTATTTTATTTGATCCTTCTAGTAGCTGATCCAATATCTATCCGGGGTTGCACCTTGGGTGTGTGAACTTGCATGCAAACAAAGTATTCAGTGGATGCTGTCTTTAAAGTTAGAGATCCCTTTTAAAATAGCCTCTTGTTTTAAAGACACCTCTTAACCGAACATGTAGACATAGCTGTTTGATAATGTTCTTCTTAATCTTGTAGAAAGTGGTGCCCAAGTAGGGTATAACTGAAGTAACAGTTTTCTTCCGAACGTCCAACATACCAACAGATGGGGGTAGTTAGTTTTTTTACAAACACTACAAAGTATAAAGAATAGTAAGGTACTACATCACACAAAAACAATTTTCACATGTAAAGCATACAATAAAACAACCAATTAACACATACTACATAGCACAATTGGTTTCACATATGATTTGCACAGTGCAAAATAAAGTGCATATGTACAACACAGTAAAAAAACATATATTTTGCATATCACACAGCAACAATATGACAATTATGTTGAATAACAGGGTTAAACAGTTTAGATATACATCTTTAGGAGAAGTTCAAGCCATCAGTTTATAATACTATATACCGTTTATAATACTATATACCGTATATATATATAATGTTTCCATAAGAGTAGAAAAACACTGAATATGCGAGTAACATTGTATCCTTCAGTCTTCTATATCTAAATCACTAAATAACAAACTGTACATTTTTAATGCCTATATATTCCCACTTTCAAGGCCAGTATAGTTCTAACTTTTCAGAGGCACTCTGTTATTGAACCTTTGTCTATGTAATGTTTTGAGGATAATGTATGATCTTAAGCCCCAAAATATGTTTGTTACGGAGTGTTTGGAGGTTTAAAATGTACTGGGATATTTTACAATAAATATAAAATGAACATTTTGAACAAATTTTCCCACAGTATCGAGGAATGAACGATGTTGATTTCTCAATATATTGAGCATTATATAAAGTTAAACATGTTAAAATAAAGAATTTACTCCCCTGGAGTCAAGATCCAAGAGTAACAAGTTTGTAAAAATGTTGGGCATTATAAGAAAATTACACATTAATTGAAAATAGATTGTACATCCAGTCAAGTTCCTTCCAGTAACAAGATCTGTGTGTGTGTATGCTTATAGACACGTTGAAAATTGTACGAGTTTATGTACATAAATTTAAAAATTTATAAAGATCTCTACATGAGGAACTAAAGTTCAAAAACAAACCCCAGAAATTTATTATATTATTTTCAAATAAATGAACTGATATTGGAAAAACTATTTCATACAGCAATTTTTAAAAGGCATCTTATACACACAGAGAGAGACAAGGTGTAAAAGAATAAACGCAACTGTTGTTTTAATCAAGTATCACTAATTGTATTTTTTATATTTTAATTTCATTTTCTTGCAGAGAAAACCAAGATCTTGAATTGTACAAAATTTTCACGTCTAGTTTTCCAGTTTCTATCCTAGAAAAAGCCGTTAAAAAATGTTTTTTCCAAGAATTAATGAAACAAGTTTTGTTGTCAGTCATGAAACAGTTTCTACCTTGTATTCTGAACAATAGATGTTTTATTTATTTAACAATCAAATCCATGTTGTTATTCTAGTGTTCTTATAGTTTAAGAACCTTCCAATCCAACTGTTTTACTAGATAACTGATTATGGGAGGAGCAAACATCACCAGTTTATGTCACTATTTTTTTTGTACAATTAGCATGTGTTCATACTCTATTATAACAAGTAGTATACAGTTATATATATCTATATTGTGTATATTTCACTTGACTAATGATGATCTTATGGTGGTTAGGGCAGTAACCAAATAATTAGTTTGTAACATTGTTGATACAACTATTTCCTTGGAAGAAAATGGCTGGATTAGTGTATAAAATACAAATGTGTAAAATGGGTGAAGGTGTTATTAAATTTTAATATATCTAACAGTTATTATTCACAATTATTTAAGCATTCTGTGTAGAACTTGTTTACAGGACAATTTGAGTGTGATCTATAGAGGTCAGCTGTACTTATTAAATCATGACCAATGTATAGATTTTGTGCTCAAATTTGGCATATTTAAAATTGACTTAAGTAAAGTGCCTTGCAACAATCTTCAATTTTTATTTGCAACAATGGGATTATAATTTCATAGTTACATTGTCCATTGCATGTCACAATAACAATAATTAAAATTAAAAATACATCTTTAAACTGAAAAAAAAAAAAAATCACCAAAACATAGAACAGTTCAGATAAAACGAGAGAGATAACAGAGAAATCCTCGTGAAATATCTAACAACTTCCATTTAATAAAAAAAAAGATGACAATTTATTGGACACAGTATGTGTTTGAATGTTACCAGCTATACTAAAGGCTGAAATTTCAATACAGGGTTTACTTAAAAATCCTTTAGAATTTGGTATACAGAGAAAAAAAAAGTCCACATACAATAGTGTTTCTTGAAAATATGGAGGTTAAAGTCTTACTTTTTAGTTTTATAGAGGCTACAGCCCACTTTTTTTCAACATACAATCCCCATAAATGAAGTAGACAACATACAAACAGTTTATCAGGAGGATAAGTTTATCTTTATATATGTCAGGTAGATGTTGAACCAGTAAAGTTAGTTTCTTTATATCATGTTAAAGTATTTGGTATACTGGGACCCTACACATCAGGAAGGTAAGGTATACTATACACCAGGGACTGTGTATGTTAAGGGGAAAGTATTTTACTGACGTATATACATTTTTTCTATAATTCTTATTTTTTTAGAAATTTGGGTCAATGTTTGCAGGGAGAACAAAATCACTGGTTATTGATGTAGCCATGTTTGTTATACTAGTTATGGAATGGTGAAGTGTGGGTTTTTATCTGGATAAATTCTACAAATAATAAAAGTTGTTTGTGCTCACTTGCCAGTAATAAACCTATTTCATTTTAATCATATTTGGCATTAGGAAGTTTATCTACTGATATTCACGTTTTTCTATACAATTAAAAACAGACAGGAAGTTCCACATCTCGACAAATACCTATTACACAAAAAAATGTGTTTTCGGATCTAGCCAATATTAATCACGTTATTACTATGGTTCTTGTAACTCCTTAACTTAAATATCTTCAACCAAAAGTATTCAATAAAAAAAAAAAAGAAACTGAGCATAAAACGTATTGAACTAGGAAGAAACCAACCACAAACTTAATAAAAACTTAACTTAAAAATAAGACTGGCATGTTTATAAACTTTGTCGTTTAATCACTAGGCTTATGAAGTTAATATCTCTTAACTAAAATTCACATTTCCTTCAGTAATAATGGAAATGTTTTATGCAAGTCGAAATACAAATTGTACCTCAGACAGTTCCATGATACCACAAGAGACAGTTGACCTATAAACTGAAATACAATTATTCCATACAATGTTAATACAAGAAAAAATAAAACACTAATTCATTGTCCCAGACAAATTCAGAAAGTGAAAATACTAACCATACACTTTCAAAATATCCATCATCAAATCAAAGTGACATTTTCAGCACAAGTTGAAATACCCTCAGACACTTCCAAAACTTGAGTTGGAAATTCAGCATTGTGCTTTACTTAAGATAAAAAATCTCCATCAAAACCCAGTTGAAAACGGATCAAATTTTATCACTTTTGGTTTCAGTAAACCTTCTGTACTTAATGTTAACTTATAAACTGAAGTAAACAGAAGTTCATGGTAAATTAAGAAAAGTTCGTAAAGCAGCAGGAATTAAGACAATTCCACGGTTAATAAAACATAACAACTACTCTTCCATGTTTAGAAAGTTCCTAGTGATGACCTAAGTATACATAAAGTTACAAACTGTGTGTGAAGTTTATTTTATAAACTTAACACTGAATGTTAAAGATGTGATTTTTTTTTGGTCATCTGTCATAAAAAATTCTTTACAGCTGACTATTAGTAAACAAGAACTTTGGTTTACAAGTGTTTAATTACACATACATAAATATTACAATATATATTTCATGCAGAAAAATGTAAAACTTACATTTGGCTTCAAAAGTCAAAGTGTTAACATGCTGAAACACACTTAACACATCATAAGATAAAATATTGGAATGTACCTTAATTTATGAACAATTAGTATATATATACCAGAACTTTCATCAGTAGAAATCTATATGAACACATCGATTATACTGTTTCAGAAAGAAAAATGCTAAATCACTATCTAATTTTGGAATTCCACTACACAATCAAACATAAATACAGTTTCCAAAAAAAAAAGTAACTCTAGCATGCTACTAAATCATTATGAAGACACAAAGCAAATAAGATAACATATAGTTGTATACATGATAAAGATCCCCCATTCTTCCTAGGTCTTTTTCCAATCCAAGATGTCATCAACATTTATAAATAATACCCTTACTGTGAATACACAATTTTATGATTTGTTTGATCTGATTAAAGTATTAAAATGTTCTTCCCTAATCCAAACACTCAAAGATTGTCAATAGTAAAGTACAAGTTTTCTATCTCTTTATATTTCAAGAGTTTTTATGAAAACTAAAAACAATGATAATAAACTGGATTTCCTTTCTGTAACTAAAAACAGACGCTTGAGTTATCTTAACATGAATGTAATAGCACACTTAACTGAATATTCCTCATCTTAATCTGGGTTGGTAAGCAGTCTATTCAATTGAAATCAATATCATGGCTAGTCAAAAAAAAAAACTGAAACCTGACTTACAGTGACGACAAAAGCGAACCAACCAATATAAGCACAAAAAAAAATGGCCAAAGAAATAAAATAAGCCATGTTAAAAATAGTGATTTTTGAAAACACAGAAACATTAGATAATTTGCACCTGTACAAAAACATAAGTTATGTACAGGAGACATAAAACACTACTTGAAAGGAAGTTCTCAAAGAATCAAAATATTTTCCACACTTTTTTTGTTTCTGTTATACCTCATATTTTTTCTATTCTAATAATAAATTAAAATGTATAATTCAAAACTACACAAACAAAAATTAGAAGAGAACAAATATTAATATGGTAATTTTATAAAATTTCACAAACACATCTAAATTATTACCTTGTATTTATTTCAAGTTTATTTTTTTCAGAAAAATATATGCCTGACACTAATGATTAAATCAAAATTTTATAACTTACCATTAACATGACAAAAAGTCCCGTGTGGTGACCAAAAGCTCATGTTAAATAGAAGTTTTAAATCTTTATTTAATTACTGATTAATTAATGATACAAGTTTAAAACACTAAACCTGTATTCACAGTAGACAAAAATGTTTACTAATATTTATAACACGGTATTTTGAATTTTATCTATGGGAACCAGAACTTGTTACTGCTGTTTGTTGTTTATGATTATTCTAAGTTATAATAATAATTGTTAGAGTCAGAGGGAGAAGAAAGGTAACTATTATTAGTAAATTTGTGGGTGTTAATATCATTACATAAAAATAAATGTTCTAAAAGCTGTATCTCTCACATTTATCATGAAAAGATACGAAAACAAATATCGTAGAGAACTATTCAATGTATTTTAATAATAAAATCCACTTTCTCAATGGATTCAAACTCAACAATTAACTTCCACTACTGGTTTATGTAATGAGTACTAAACAATTAAATCAGTTTTTCTCTCGGGATTATTATAAAATTATTAAAGAAAATTATACAGTATTTATAATATGGATAAGTGTCTAGATTTATTAAAGAAAATATTGATTTTCAGCTTAGTTTTTTTTTCAGAAGAATATATACCTAACACTTACAGTTAAAGACCAGAGGGCATTAACACATCAAATTTCAAACCACATAACGATTGTTAGAAGTAATAAATTTGGAACATGTCATCACATGCTTGCAACTGTTCCAAAAAACAAGTATTTGTAGCGTAATAAACAAGTATTAAGAAACTCAAATGTCAACACATCTAGAGTAACTACAAACAACACACAATCAACTACTAAAGTGATTTTATTTAATATTACAATTGCTCTCTACCTTTCACCTGCTTATTTTAGTACAGAAGTGCAACATACACGTGTATAATCTTCCACAGCTAAGATCTTCTAGCTTCGGCTTCCGCTAATGGCTAGACCCAAAACAAAACATTTTTGTATTTCCACAATCTCCACCAACAAAACGTTTTAAACTTGTTATCTATTAAAAAAGTCTCACAGTGACTCTAATAAACTTTATGTAAACATACACTACTATTATAACATACCCAATGTTTCCCCTCATAAGAGATTGTGGTTACAGATTAAAGAAAATTTAATAGCTTTCAACAACGAGTATTCAAGCAAATTAAAAAAGATCTCCCACAAAACGTTTATCTAATGTAGTTTTAGAAAGTCATAAAAATTCATTTAAAATTTATCTTTTTTATATTTCTCATTTAAAACTAGCAAGCCAAGCTTATAAGGTAGAGAACCAATCAGAGTGGACATTGACTTTAGCCAGGTTTCAGTGATGCTCTCTGTTTACATCTTAAAGTACAGTGCACAAAACAGGAAAGTTTGTAGCGCATTAAAAAAGGCCATCAACTTGTATGTCACGTGTTTCCGTGCATGCACGAGTCTGACATTTTCACCCAACCATAATCTTCACCTCTCACAAACAACCATCTAGAGCACTAGTTTATTCCATAATAATCTCACCCTACCATAATCTTCACCTCTCACAAACACCCATCTAGAGCACTAGTTTCTTCCATAATAATCTCACCCTACCATAATCTTCACCTCTCACAAACACCCATCTAGAGCACTAGTTTCTTCCATAATAATCTCACCCTACCATATTCTTCACCTCTCACAAACACCCATCTATAGCACTAGTTTCTTCCATAATAATCTCACCCTACCATAATTCTTCACCTCTCACAAACACCCATCTAGAGCACTAGTTTCTTCCATAATAATCTCACCCTACCATATTCTTCACCTCTCACAAACACCCATCTATAGCACTAGTTTCTTCCATAATAATCTCACCCTACCATATTCTTCACCTCTCACAAACACCCATCTATAGCACTAGTTTCTTCCATAATAATCTCACCCTACCATATTCTTCACCTCTCACAAACACCCATCTATAACACTAGTTTCTTCCATAATAATCTCACCCTACCATATTCTTCACCTCTCACAGAAAACATTTATCTCTAGCACTACGTTATTTCAAATAATAATTTAATTTCAGCATTTTAACAAAATAATCCAGGACCTCACATACCAGGTTAATGCTTTATCAAGTTGAGCTGAACAGTTAACCTGCTAATAAGACCAATTCAAGCTATCATGTATCCACTGTTGACATACATTATTCACATGTCCATACATTTAAAAAAGTATGTTTTGGTTAGTCTAGCCAAGTGATGGGAATAAAATCACCTCAGTAACGGTTTCCTCTAAGTGACTGTTTAGCAGCTGCTGTTGCAGCATTGGTAGCAGCACTTTGGACATATTCATTGCGAACAACACCGTGGGCAAATTCTTCTTGTGCTTTAGCAAAACTGGCATCACTGTTTCGGTAAATCTTGTGAATCTGTTAGAAAGTACATAAAATGTTTTAGTCACCTAAATCTAAAGTAACTTTGTTTGCCATATGTATAACTTATACCTTATGATAATACAGAACTGGCAAGTTAATATGTTATTAGCTAAATAATACAAATTCTATATTATTAGTTATTTCAGTTCTATGACAGTACAAGACAAGGGATTCTACTTTATTATTTGTTTTAGTTATCTGACAGCACAAGACAAGGGATTGTTAGTTGTTTTAGTTATCTGACAGCACAAGACAAGGGATTCTACATTATCATTTGTTTTAGTTATCTGACAGCACAAGACAAGGGATTCTACATTGTTAGTTGTTTTAGTTATATGACAGCACAAGACAAGGGATTCTACTTTATTATTTGTTTTAGTTATCTGACAGCACAAGACAAGGGATTCTACAAAATTAGTTGTTTTAGTTATCCGACAGTACAAAACAAAGGATTCTACATTATCATCCGGTTTGGTTTAAAACAGAAGATTCTACATTATTAAATACTGTAATTGCTTTATAATAAAGACAATAGATTCTACATATCAGTTGTTGTAATTACTTGAAACTACAGTTTAGTATTTTATACTCTGGCAGATGTTGTAAATAGTTCATATACAATACAATACAAATTATTCTAAAATCTTTAATTGTTAGACCTAGTTTACTATTTGAGATAATACAGAAGATGCTACACTTAGAAAGGAAAAACAAAATGGCAAGATTTTTTACTTAGCAGCATGTAACTAGCAAGAAATACCAACAGAATCTTAAAATTATTCAGGACTGGAAAAAATATCTGGACAAGAAGTAAATTTCTGTCTTTTGTAAGTATGGATTTTTGATGATGAATGAAATGAGATTTTTTTTCTAATAAAACCAAATACTAATTAATACTCATTTCATTTTTGACTAATAATCAAAATGGCCCAGAAAGGGTTAAAATGTTACTTAAAATACCAAAGTGCATCAGTAACTTTTAATGACGCAACCACTGAAAAATCAAGGATGAAACTTGATCTGCCAAACGATAATGAATGATGATCTGTCAAATATTAACGAACAAGTAACTAACATTTGATGTCAAAGAACCCCCTCTGAGACAGTAAAGTTTGAAGACAGCTTGAATGGATAATGAAGAAAAGGTTATTACAAATTTAAAATAGTGACAAATGTACAACATTTCATCAAGGTTTTGTTGTCATCAGGTACTTTGATACTTTAACAATGACAAAATGTTGTATATTTGGTAATATGTCAAACTTGTAATGGAGTGACCAACATGTAAAATTCATGGTAAATAAGAATCGTAATTCACCTTAAACAAATATCCTGAAGCTAGTAATATGTGATTATACAAAACATCTTTCTTAAAATTCTAGTGGTGGTAAGCCAATGTAATGGTTAAAATATAGAACAACAAACTGTTTTAAAACATGTATACTGATGGATGAGCAAGCCTTTGTCAAAAAATTTTAGTAATCAAGGTGCTCTTGTGAATTCAAATAAGTGTTACCCAAGGAAGATAATACCATGTAAGCATGAATAATAGTGTGTGAAATTAAATAAGTGTTACCCAAGGAAGATAATACCATGTAAGCATGAATAATAGTGTGTGAAAATAAATAAGTGTTACCCAAGGAAGATAATACCATGTAAGCATGAATAATAGTGTGTGAATTCAAATAAGTGTTTCCCAAGATACCATGTAAACATGAATAATAGTGTGAATTCAAATAAGTGTTATCCAAGGAAGATAATACCATGTAAGCATGAATAATAGTGTGTGAATTTAAATAAGTGTTACCCAAGGAAGATAATACTATGTAAGCGTGAATAATAGTGTGTGAATTC